AGTACGCAAGTTCTTCCATACAAAGTAATTCGACAATTATTTTTTGTATGGAGAAAATGAGCAACAGCTTCCACTAAAAAAATTCCCAAAAATATACTAAATTTGAATGGGCTATAAAACTGCATACTTAGAATTTTTCTAAAAAATCTGAATAAAAAGTTGAAAATTAGTGTGCAAATTTAATGAATTTTCCTGAGTGTTGCACAAAGTTTAGAGATTTTATTATTACGTTTTCTGGCGTAGAATGAACAATATTTTTATTAAAAATTATCGAAAATAAATTAGAATAAAAAACTTCGCATATATTGCGAAAAATTCACTGTGCCAATACTTCTGTTCGGCACTGTATGTATGTATGTATTGTATTTCAAAGTCGAAAAAAATAATGTATGCACCAAAATTGTTATTTTTACTGGCTGCATACTTTTCTGCAGTCTAGGCCCACTTTTGAATGCATCGATCGGTTAAGAATAACTTAAGATCGGTGGGTGAGGCTGTTGGTCAATAATCATGCTAATGATTAGCTCAGTCATGGTGTTAAATTAGACATAAAATGTTAGATGAGTTGAAAAAAGCTTGTTGATATCATGTGAGCTCCTTCAGAAAATAGCGGGCAGAGCTTATTTTATATAAGAGACATTTGCTGTTGTTATGGGAGCCTAAAACTCGCTGTCCAAAAATTACAAGCTGTCTTGATGGTAATAAAGACGTCCGTCACGCCTGCTGAAAATACATGCCAGCTGACCAACCCACTAAAATACATTTTTGCGAATTTCTCGGAAACCGAGTGAGCACTTAATTGATTTTGGTGGCCTTAAAAAACACCTAAATAGCACCCATATCCTGAGTAATTGTTATCAGTTTTTGAAGAAGTTATGATAAAGGCTGCCTTCAATATAGAGTATTGGCAGGTGAGGTCAATTGAACGTTCAGGCCTTAGTTGGGCGCCAGCTGTATTGCCTGCTGTCTTTGCAACAGGTTTTTAAGAGGTGCCTGCACATCCGCGCGGATCCTGAAATATAGTCCTTCGGCGGCATTAAGACGCGTGCGGGGATCCGAGGTTGTCATCTCATGGTGCTTTTACACAACAAAGGTCAACCACATGCTGTGGTAAGTCCACCGTTACTAGCAGAGGTAGACAGGTACCACAACCGTTAAAATATAGTCGGAATCTCCTGACTGCTAAGCATCCAATGGGCATGGACACGCAAGTATTAGAGGGAGAAGTATGTTCGACACCTCCCACCTCTGCAGAAGCTGTTTGCTGAATATATTATAACTAGTGAACCCGCATGGCGTCAAAACGCCAGCAGTTAATTAAATTTTTTAAACAGGTGAAACTGTATTCAAAAACCTCTAAAAATATTCCTAATAATTAATCTAAACCATTTCTCAGTGATAAGAGGTCTCGCATGGTGTCGGTTTTCATTTCTTCAAATTTCAAATCTCCCTGTAACTTCAAAAGCAAAACCTGTGCACATCTATGTAGAATCCCAGTTTTTTAATTGAGCTTCTCATTTTGGAAATTCGAAATAACTGTGCAGATGTGATGACCTTCAACAAAAAAAAATAGATGGCAATTCTAATTAAAAATATTATCAGCCTATAGTTTTCTTAAAAACTCTTTCGTTTGACACTAATATTTCGATATTTCATTTATGTATCTTTGGTATAAGTAAAACAAATTCGACTTTTCGAACAGGTGGCAACCCCTTTAAAAGTATTTTCAAACTAAAATTTTTCGCCTGGCATTGTTATATATATTTCATATTAACTGATGAATTAAGGTAAATTTATTTTTTTTAATCACATGGCAACTCTCCTAAATACAGTTAAGAAATAAATTATTTTCAAACCCATTTCGATTGATACCAATCTTTTGACAACCCATTTAACTTATTAAATAATTTGAGCTTAATTTTTTCAACAAAAAAAAAAAAACAAATGTTCACCCTAACCCTATTTTCAAATTTCATGTAACTTATGTGTAATTAAACGAAATACCCCTTTCAAAACAGGCGGCAACCTTGTTAAATAAAGAAATAAGTTTGCACATCTCCAGGCCAAGCGCTTTAATTTGACACCCCATTTTTGAAAATCGAACGAACGGTGCAGATCTTTTATGTGGAACAAAAAATGACTTCGCGTATTATTTTGAACTAAATTTTTTAAAAGATGGCAACTCTTTTCGAAAAAGTTAAACCTTATTGCACACCTAAAGTCAGAGCCCTTTGATTTGACACCTCACTTTTGAAAATCGAACGAACGGTTTGGAATTGATGGCATTGATTATTAAATCATTTGAATGCAATTTTTTATCAGGTGGCAACTCTTTTCGAAAAAGTAAAACCTTATTGCACATCTACAGACTAAAGGTCTGATTATGCATACTTCGCATAACATCGCACAACTATTTGTACCAGTGCAATAGAAATGTAACTTAAGAAAATGTGAAGCAAAATCTTAACTCAACAGATCGCTAAGTTTTTAAAAGTTCTGCTCATTTATGGGTAATGGAATAGATACAAAATATATACAAAGCACAAACGAAATTACAGTTTGAAGTTTATGCGAAGTTGTGCGAAGTATGCATAATTAGACCATAAGCGCCTTAATTTGACATCTCATTTTTGAAAATCGGGTGAACGGTACAGATCTTTTATGCTGCACAAAAAATCCCTACGCGTATTATATATATATGGATTCCTAGCTGAGACTACAGAGCATTAATGCGTTGGTGATGTTCGGTATAAATCAGAAGGCATCTTGTGAGAACAAAATCTTCCTACACGTCAAGTGTGGTTGTTGTACCGCCTTCCTTAGCCCCGTATGTGGCTTTGCTGTAGAAAACAACCAAGCAAAACCTGCTTACCAATCATAGTGTCCTGATTTTTATTTGTACAACAGCACACGACGTTTCCCAAAAAAGACCCCGAAATTTCCTCGGTCATTCCGATCGTGCAAACACGTCTGCCTTGGAAACCGTGTTGTGTAACTTCGTTCACTGCTTACTGACTACTTTTATACGACGACTTAATTTGCGCAATTCATAAAGGTTTGGGTGATTTCCTTCTTGTTTCCAACATTAGTTTTTCACTACCCCAATTTCTGCAGGTCACTTCAGTGTGAGGGTGTAAGAAGTGATCGAACACCAAAATCGTAAGTAATCAGCTTAATGTTTTGATCTCAAAGCATCACCTTACGTTGTCTTCAAACTAGCAACTAGGTATGTACATATGTAGTTATATGAGTTTGTGCAAACCTAGGGCCTAATAAGTAACAGAAAACCGATAGTCGTGAGATCAGCCGATGAGCGTTGATCAGCCATGCTTTAGAATCAAAGACTCAGGCGTTAATTACGAAGTAATATCCTGGAATAATTTTTTGCATCAAGCGAAAAAAAAAATATAAAAAAATTGTCTAACAAAGATAGTGGTATCTTGTTTTGAGAATTCTCAGTGCTGTGCGAGTACTTGAAGACTGACGACGCGTGGCACAATGAAAGTCCTTAGCTTGGCCTGCACAGGTCCGTGGGGTAATAATTTCCCACAAGGTGTGAGTGACGTATCCTTTGTTTGTCACATCTACCGTTATATTTAAAGTTTTTTTTCAGAAAACTGCTTTTGAGACTATAAATAAAAATGGTTGTGTGTTTGTTAATAAGAAATAATATGGATTTTCATAAAAAAAAATCGGAATAAAGGAAAATTGTGATCTTAGTTTTAATTTAAGTTTCTTGAGTTCTCAAGAAAAATCAGAAATAAATTTTTATTATTTCTGTTGCTTGAGAAATTACTTTTCTGTTATTGTAAATTTTCGGGAAGAAGTAAATTCTCGAGCATTTTTTTCTTGAGAGCTGCATACTATTTTAAGAAATTTTGATAGAAAAAAAATTCTTTCCTATTGCTTGTGCGGCATCAGTGAGAGCTGCATAAAGCCATTTAAAATTCAGTATTATAAATACATATGTAAGTTTTATAGACATTCTATTTTTCATTTTTAAATATGTAAAACCTTTTTTAAATTAACGGCACTCCTAAATTTTTATACAAGTATTAGGCCAGTTCCTTTTTTTTGCTTAAAAATTACTTGTTTGTTTTTGTATACCACACACTTATGGGAAAATATGTACATATTTCTTCATAATAGATAGAGCTGATGATTTTGTAGTCTAAGGATTACCTGGGTACCCAGGCACCCGTGCAAATGCAGAAGGTTCAATTTAAGCGTATTTGTAATTATAAGTACACAACGCATGTAAACAAACGTCCTTAAAGGACAAATCTAAGCTAACTTGCTCCACGAAAATTTTATTTTATAAGTAAATTTTTTCAATGTGTTTTATAGGCGTCTTCGGAAGAAGTATCTCATGTCTGTATTTACTGCCGCACGTGTGCTTCTTTCAATGTATGAAAAACTTTCCCACACCCTGCCCGGGTAAGTATAGCCCGTTTACCCAGCACCTGTCCTTGTGCTTAACTAATTAAGCCAGTAACATTTTGACTAGTTTTGGCTATTTCTGATACTTATTTAATGGTTGTTTTCGCGTTGATTTTTGTTAATTTTTTTTTTGTGGAGGGTTTTATTTTCCTCCCTACACAAAAATTGTCGAACATAAACTTACTTTGTGTGAAAGAAAATCTGTGACACCGTTAGCAAAAAAAATTATCAAAAATCAACGCGAATTCTTAGCCTCTTGAAACTTGCACTTTCTGCATACTTTTAATTTTTCTTAAAATGCTTGGCAAAAACTATGTTTTTGTAAAATTTTGTTGAATTTTTGTACAAAGTTGAAATTTGGATATGGTGTTTGGTAGAAAATTATCTGTATTTCTATAAAATAAAATATTAAACATTAAACACACAAAATAAAAATTGCCAAAACTGGTCAAATGTCGTGTCCCTATTATTTTTCACATGACTATATACTTACTACCCGGTTCGGTATGTGTTTGCAAGAAAAAATTAAAATTTAATATCCATTTGTTAGAGTTACTTACCGCTTTTTGATAGATGGGTCTTCCATAGGTTTTCACGATTTTAGCGAATGTTTGGAATGTAACGAAATGTAAGTAAAATACTATTTCACACAGTAACTGATAAGGCCGTTCAGGAGGAAAATTGTAATTACGATTCATATATTCGACAATTTGTAAGTGGGAAATTACTAAGCAAATCCAATAACGGGCACTTTAAACAACATTTTGAAAAGGTATCACAATTATTTATTAACTTTCATTCTTGTTATTGCTTTTTTCAGAACTTTTATTTGAATAAAGTTTTTTACTTTACTTATATTATTTCTAAATTTTTTGGAGCCGCCTTTTTTAATTTTTTTGTCAGCAGCGAATCAGAAAATCAACTTTTAATAGACGTGTCGAATTGTTGAGTGTAGAATACCCGAGTATGTACATATGTATGAATGTATGCACATATCAAGATTTTGATGCTCTCTTTTCCATTCCAATTATACCGCGGATGTTTTTATTTTTGGTATTTTGCACGATTTTCACGTTTTCTTTAGAATGTTTTGTAAATTGAGTTTCGCGCAATGCGTGTCTGAAGCTGGAATTCCAAAACGAACAAAAAACTGATATTGTGGTCGGAAAGTATCGAAATAGTGTAAAGCAAATTACACATTTAGCACTTTTAATCGTATAATGCAAATTCGCAGAAATACGTTTGTATGTACAAATTTATACATATAGTACATTCAAAGCTATTGATACTCGTCGTAAGCAAGAGAAAAGTATTGCAAATTTTTTCCACTAACTATTCGTTCACTTTGTATTAATAAGTTTTGCTTCAAATATGAGTACTTTTTAATTGTAGTTCTACTGTTGAAGGTACAATGCAGTGCAGATTTAATGCAGCATTTGTTATTGTTGCTACGTTATGTTTTCATTTCGCTTTGTTATCGAAAAGCTGTTGCCAAGTGGCCGCGACCATTTAGATATTTTTTCTTTTGTTAAGTTTATTCGTCGTTTTATTATTTAATTGTGTATTATTTCTTCTTCGTTCACTTCATTTTTTAATCTCGAACTTATGTATGTTAGCATTTTGCTTCATATTCGTTGCTTCTACTCTATTTAAATTATGTATAGTGAATACTGCTTTCATATATTGTGTATGTATGTACATATATAGATTGTGCACTTCTATTTTGCATGCAAAGCATATGAGCTCCTTAATTAGCTTTTTACTTTCATTAAATCACTGGAAAATATCGATTATTAAGTATACATACAACACCACATAAATTTACAATATCAAATCATGAAATCATCGCGCACAACTCGTCAACGGCAACTGGTTCTAGATGTGCTTTCTAACATCAAAGTTTCGGTGTACGCTCAATTTGTACCTCGGCCTAGTGCCCGTTCTCTGCAGCCCTAACTATTTATTACGTTCAAGTAAATATATGTATAGTTTTTACATACATGCATAGCCACATTCATACATACATCTAAAAAATGAACCTCACTCTCTCACCAACATCCAACTCTTAAAATATACGATCTATCTGCATTCTGCGCGTGGTTATTGGGCTTTTTTATGAACACGATTGTTCTCATTTCAGCCAACGCGCATTACCAGTCTGCCTGCCCCGCCCCCTAACCCGATTTCGAACGCAACCCCCTCATCTATGTGATACTGTGATACTGTTAAGACAATTCTTTCATATTTCTTCTCTTCTGGTCTCCTTCAAGATCAGGTTTTAGCCGCCGTTTTCTGATTGCTGCGGTTATGCTCGTATGAATGCTTGCGCGCTTGTCCAGCTCAAAAATACTGGCATAGAAAAAATTATTAAAAAACAGGTAATAGTGTAGGTTGTGGACTCCAACGAAAATACGTACATATATCCAAAATGGTCGAAAGTGGTATCATCGTGGCGCATTAAAAACCATTGCGTTTAAGTGAACTTTGTTAGTATTAAATTCATATTAGTAAATGCACTAATAGTGAAGTGAAAAAGTGGAAGAAACAACCACAATTTACATGGCGAACTAAGCTCAGTGGCTTTGTAAGACGGAGTCGCTGGTTCAACAGTGAACCCGATGAAGAAGTCTCCTCTTCACGTGCACCTCCAACCCTACGACCCTGACACCAGAAGCGCTCTGGACCGCGCCTATCGACGCAGCCCGCTTTCTCGGCCTCAGGCTCACAGAGTCGGAGGATGAAGACGACGACACATGACAAATCTGGGGGGTTGAGCACTGCTGCTACAACAACAACAACATGAAGAAGTCTCGAAGTCTTGCAAGGCACTTGCAGGGTGCACGGATTCAATAGGGTTTTTCTCATAGAAAAGGCAGTTTTTACCGTGCAATTCGTGTACTCGATAACCCCCTACTCTTTAAAATTTAATTAACTGCACATATCGAGCCATAACGGCCAAAAAAATGTAAGCGACATTTTTTTCAATTTATTTTTGATGCAGAAATATTCCTATTCTGCATCAAAGTTATTGAAAAAATTGTCGATTACGTATAAAACTAAAAAATAATTCAAAGATGTGTTTCGGGAAAAAATCGTTATACTTAAGATGCGCTCGAAATTCCTAAGTAATACATTTTTTTTTTATAAAAGTAAATGCGTTAATTCTAATAAATTATTACAGTTCTATGCCTATTTTCCTCGATTTCGCAGCCAGTTTGTATACACAAAACTCTTTCCACTGTAGGAGAAGTCAATGTTACATTGTGCTTGTTATAGGAAGAGTTACTAGAATAGTAAATAAATTAAATATATTTGGTAACACGTCATTTCCAAACAGTCTTTGGCCTATCTTCAAGTTTCAAGTTGAAAGAAAGTTGTATTCCAAATACCTATCTCCATTTTAACACATCAAAACAAAACTTCCATCCAAATCATCAGAGTAAAAATCAAATAATTTCTTTAAGTAAATTACTTATTGCATTATTGTCAGTTTAAACACCTTTTCCGGAAAAAGGACTTGAATCTAAGTTTCGCGATTGTTTTTAACCGACTTCAAAAAAACAGGAGGTTAACTTTTGACGGCGTGCAACGTTTTCGATAACTCCTTTATCGGAAATTTGGTACCTCAAGGGCGAACCCATACTACTTAATTTGATTTAGTTCCGATCATTGGATCATGAAGAGACTAACGAAATTTCTAGCAATAATAATACTTAAGTTGGCGCTTACACAATATGTTAGTGTTTGGCCGAGCTTCTCCTCCGATTTGTGGCGTGCGCCTTCATGTTGTCACTCAAAGGGGAGGGACCTAAGCTGAAGCTCCGTAATGATTGAATGCAATTGTATATAAGCTGCTCCATAACCGAAGTCTGAAAAGCCTGAAAGATGCTAAATTTCATTTCATTTCATTTCGTCTCGCGGGACGACTATTTTAAGATGAAAATTATTTTCGTCTTCTCATAATAATTAAGTATATGGGATTTTTATATTTTTACGTCTCTCGGGACGTTTATTTCAAGACGACAATGATTTACGTCCCGCGAGACGAAAAAAAGATATTTCTCGTAAATAATTATTATACAAAGACGAAAAAATTTCTCTTAAAACAAGGCGACGTTTTTGATCTCAAATATTAGGATAATAATTATTTTAGGTCTCTGATTTTAACATTAATGTGAAAAACGGAAAAATAATTCTGAATGAATTGAAATTAAATAGTAAAAGAGTATCACATTTTGTTCGACCTCTCATTTTATAATCGCATCTCACTGGTCGGAAAACTCATCGTAATGCTGGATTCCACTAGGCATTAAATGGCAAAAATGACATATGAGAAAGTTTGGCATTAAAAAATATTTGTGTCATTACGTTAAAAAAATTGTTATTATGTTCATTTCCACATGGAATTTTTTTAAATGGCATATATTTTTTGCCATTTTAATGCCTAATGGAAATTCGGCATAACACTTCTGGATATTTGTTAACAATTTGCTACTAAATTTTTTATAAAATAATCTTTTTAAATTTCAAAAAGAGAAAATTCAAAGAATAGTGTTTATAATGAAAATGTTTACAAATATGCACTGCAGAATGTCAAGAAATTTCAAGCAGGAAAAGGCCTGAACAACTTCGAAAGCTGCAACGCCTGAAAACCCTGCTGCGGAACCTCAGCACTACAATTTTGCGACGGCTCCAAAGGGCAATTGTATTTTTTATGAGAAACTGATTTTCATGGCAGAATTCACTCGGCGGTTCACCATTGCCTGCCGAGGGGCGGCCGCTATTAGAATTTGTCTTTGTGTTTTTGATGTTGGTCCGAAATTGGGCTCGAACCCAGGCCTGCAGAATGGTAGTTCACTCTGCCAACCACTACACCAAGTCACCGGTCAAGTTAGACATTCAAGGTTACAATAATTCGCATAAAGCTGAAAATTGGTACGAGATTTGCAAATACTATTATAAATGAAATGTCAAAATCCCCATCGATCTCACGTTTTATTTTATTTATTTAAAATGTTTTTTTTTTTTTTTATTTATTTCAATCGCCTGCGATTGTTCAAAATTTAATATTTTCACAAAATGATTCGATCAAGTACACAAATGAGCAACATCTTCGAAAAAAATTGCCGAAAATTAACAGTAAGTGTTTCTAAGATATCTAATTAAAAAGCTCGAAATTTTTACGAAAATTTGTTGATTATTTTTTAATGTTGCACGAAGATCAAAACTTTGATTTGTACAGGTTTTGTTAAAAAGTAAACTATATTTTTATAAACAGCTACTTAAAATTAAAAAATAATAAAATAAATAGCCAAAGCTTGTCTATATATGTATATGATAAGCACTATAGCTTTTTTTTATCATCTAGTAATTTGCTAAATTATGCGCAAATATACACGTAAATAGACAAAATACTAAATATTTATTCGTTACGATATTTTCAGTCAGATGAAATTGCAGTTATACTTTTCGTTTTAACCGACTTCCAAAAATGGAGGAGGTTATCAGTTCGTCAGAATATTTTTTTTTATGTATGTTACCGCATAACTTTGGACCATGTCAACCGATTTCGATAATTCATTTTGCATTGGAAAGGTATGTGTCTCAGAGGTGGTCGCATACTAATCTTGTTTAGATCCGATCATTGGATCATGAAATATATATATATATATATGAGAATTAAAGTCGGTTTTGTTTTTTGCTTAAAAATTACTTGTTGATTACTCAACTTGCTTTGACAACACAGAACAGCTGATGGTATGACACTTCAGGAACTTCTGACAAAGAGAGAACCTTATTTACTCCGGGAAAGGCTTTATGGTAATTGTTTACTAACTTTATCTCTAATCCAACGCTGGGCTGGCTCACTGGACTTGAATGCTACTGGAATAATGAAACGGGGATTAATATACAAAAAAACATTACATTTTCAAAATAGGCTAAAACGCCTTATACAAGTAATTGTACTTAATCCTTTTAAAGCTAGCCATATTTTGCTCGCGACTGTATACCATTCTACAGTCCAACTGAGGTATCCACTCTAAAGGAGAAATATTGCCTCAGGGAGATTTTTCCTTTATGAAAATTAGACATACCAATTAAGTAATTCCTAAAATACAACTCGACCGAAACAAAAATTCGTTACTTTTAAAATGTCTTTGAATATTACTTTTGATTTACGGGTGACTAACAAATTGTTGAATAGTTGAATAAGTCTGTAAATTTTCCACCAAGTTTTGAACTAATCATCCAAAAAAATTCAAAACTCAATTTGTCACGACAATTTTGTCTAAATTAATTATAAAATAAAAAAATAAAAAATGTCTGGGCGTGGTCTACGGCCAGGGAAAGGAGTAGTTATGTGGCATTTAAATTGAAATTAGCATGGAGTAGTTGACGTAAATGAGCAAATGCAAATCTATTTTATGTACATATGTATGTATGTACATACGTACACGTGTATAGTATATATGTTTATATTTTTAATGTTATTTCTCGTAGTTGTAGTTTTAATATATATATTTTTTTTTTCTTATTTATTTTTATTTTATGCTGATTCTCTTTTATAAAAAAAGGCTTAACCTTAGTTAAATTGTAACTTTAAACACAAAAAATAAACCGGACGTAGTTTCAAAAACATTACTTCAAACTAAAAAATATTTTTAGTTAAATTTTTTTATTTTCTATTTTTTTTTTGTTTTTTTGTTTTTTATGCTAATTACCTTTTGTCAAAAAATACCTTGCCTTCAGTAACACTATTTCAAACCAATGTTGTTGTGCGACATTTTTGACGGCAACGACTGAGATATCAACCGATCTGGGCGGGGTTGTTGTAGCCGCTACACCAACAACAACAACAAGGATTCAAGCTATATACCATGATAAAAATATAGCAAGGTAGAACCGTTCTCTCAATTTTTCGGCCATGATTTTTTTTTTTAAGTTCGCGAACTTTTTAAAATCATATAAAAGTGAAAATAAAAAATGAAATTGTTCGAAATTGTTGTTGCTTGAGATTGAAAATGAAAATGTGTGTGTGAGTTTGTGTGTGTGTTTCATTTTCAATCTCAAGCAACAATAATTTCGAACAATTTCAATTTTTTATTTTGACTTTTATATGATTTTAAAATGTTGGCAAACTTCAAAAAAAAAATCATGGCCGACAAATTGAGAGAACGGTTCTACCTTGCTATGTTTTTATCATGCTATATACCACAATTAGAAGAATTCAACAAATTTTCGCCACTCTGAATTTTCTTAACATTTTTGGCTATACATACATTGAGTTTTGGTACATATAACCAAGAATGTGCAGCCAGAAATTCCCACTGATTCAATCGAAAAATAATGCAATAGACTACACTTTTGGAAATTATTAATAAGGGGTGGTTTAGATTGGTAACCCCGGAGTACGGATTTAAGGAAAATATCGCAGGTAGAGGGGGTGTGGCCTCCTAACGCCCCCCTCCCCCCCTATTCGGAAGGGGGCAGCCCCCACTTTACGAAAAGTCGCACCCCTCCCTTCGGCGCCTCCACCAGACACCTAGGGAACCGTTTGAAAAAGGGGGAAAAACGGAATGTTCTTGGGCAAACTGAGCAGTTTGAAATGCAATATGACCCAACTAAAAGAAACTGTAGGACTTTTTAATAAAAGAAATTATGCCAAAATATATATCGGGCGATTTTGAATAAAGAATAATAATAATTAAATTAATTAAAAATAGAAAAAAAAAGTTCTTTTTAACAAATGTATTTTTGCGTATAATTCGTTTCTGCGTAGGCGGCGTGCGGCCACACTTAGGGATTATAACCCTCAGGCAGTAGAATTCTCCTTTCTGTGTTGCCAAAGAAGGGGGGCAGAACACATTTTGCAGAGAACACCTCTCTCATTCTTTGGAATATTTTGCAGTTTGACAGCTGAACTCCTCTATTTAATTTGCATATGCAACCAAAGTCAGACGCGTGATTTTGAAGGTTTTTTTATTTAATGAATTGTGATTAATTGGTTAATATTAAAGTCGTAAAGAAAGTTATAACTAATCGAGTGAAGTGTAAAGTGAAGGGGAATACAAAAATATATTAGTGAAGTGGCTGCAAATATTCTGCATGTACTCTCATAATAATTTAACAATGAATTTTTCATAAAAAAGCTGTAATATACTAAAAGTTTTTATTTGCTTGGTAGTGCGCACTCTAAGTACACATATATTGAGTGTAAATATCATGGAAATTTAGTGGAAAGTGCACTAAATATTGTGAAATAGTGCCATACAAGTTTTTTAAACTTACAAAATTTAACAACAAATTACTTAAAAACCATAAGGTTCTGCGGTTTGAAAATTTACAGTTGTCTATGTACCCCCTCTGCCTTAATTCCGTAGGTAAAAGGGCACATCAGCGGAACCAGGCCAAAATTTACCAAAAAAAATCAAGAGGGGTATCAATCGGCGCGTTTTAACGCGAATAATAACAATCCGAGACCGGAATTTAAGATTTTTAATCAATTTAAGAATTATTCCCTAAGGTCCCTAGGGACCCTTTAGAAAAATGGCCAAAATTCACAATTTTCACTTGCGTCCACAGTATTTTTGCGTAGAGTTCCTTTCTGATGTAGCCTTGGGAAAGGATGAGGTAACTAGAATTCCCTTTCTGTGTGGTAAACCTGGGGCTACCGTCCCAGTGATGCCTATTATGGTCACTGGTGTTTTATAAAAATGTCTTGTATATAAAACAAAAAAAGTGCAAAGCGAAAAGTGCGAGTGGTTTTTGCGAATAACTCTTCAATGAATTAAAAATGTTAATTTCCGTTCTCTGATTATTATTATTGGCGTCAAGACGCGTCGATTGATACCACTCTAGTTTTTTCCGTCCATTTTGACCTGGTTCCGCTAAAGTGCACTACTACCATTCCATACTCCGGGGTTACTATTCTAAAATTTTCCCAAATCTACCAAAACAAAACAAAATTTAACTTCTTACAAACCTAATACCATGTTCTGACCGACATCGAAAACATGTTTTCGTTGCTAAAACTGGTTTTCGACCTAAATCTTGTAATATCTGTCAAACTAAAACTAGTTTTCGCTGAAACCTCACGTTCCACTCATTCCAATCGGTGTCTTCACTAGTTTTTTTCGATTATTTCTCGAAGTGGAAGTCATATTTTATCATCTTTAATATGCCATTTCGGATTTATTGTTAATTGGCTGGCCAAAGTAAAATAAGAATGAAAGTAAGAGGTTGCTAATAAAAATAAAGAGAGAAAAGCTTTTTGGTTTTGTTTTTGTGCAGCAAAACTGTAATCAGAGGATGTAAGAAATGTCAACGAAAACACTAACAGCCGGTGTGAACAGCCTTCAGCTCACAAACCCAAAACTCGTTTTCAAAGTGTTTTCATTGTCGGTCAGAACATGGTATAAATCTTTTCTACTAATTTTGGTCAAATTTACCAAAGTGGCAACCCCGTATGTGAGTATACCGATCGCCCGCACCAAAACATGGGTAAACAAAAAGGAATGTAGCAATCGGGCCGCAAAACAAATTCGCACAGCGCAACACGCAGCGAAAACGACAAAGTTGAACTTTTGACTCTTTTTTCCTTTCTTGCCATATTTCGTTTATGGTTATCTCTGCACCTTTTTCATAGCTACGTTGTTTGCTTTTCTGCTTTATACAATATTCTTCCGAAAACATTCACTTTGCACAATTCTTTACCCTCATACTTATTTACTGAACAAGCTAAATGAAATCCACTTTTTTCGAATTTAAACTCAAAACTCTCTACACTTGCGCTTTTCTCGTATCCATCTTTCGCACCTTCTTCTTTTACTATGGTACTCCTCTCATTCCATGATCTTACATATTTCCTTCTATTTTCTTTTCATTCTCTTTTCATTTTCATTCACTTTACGCCTTTACTGATTATCCAGGAAAAATTCCATTTCACTATATCGGTAAAATTTCCGATTAAGCACTTTTCTAATCTTTATCTCTTCCTTACAAACTCATAAGTTTACGTACTTTTTTTTAACACTTCCTTTTCTTTAAAACAAAATTCATCATCCAACAAGTGGCGGCCATATTTGCATTTTTATGTTCACAGATCACAACCGATCCCAATTAGTGTTGTTGTTACTGTATGCTCTATAGCAACTGTTGTACTACACTACACTTCATCGTATAGCATCCAAACACCGCGCTAATTAACTACGAACGAAACGTTACATCTGACGACCGAATGAATACTGCCGAACGAGATGCAATGTGAAAGAATAAACACCTAATAATTTCGTGTTGGGTTCGCAAGGTTGCATAAATTTATAAACTTTTTTTATCGGGTAAACATCCTTTTTCCATTTGTATATATACATATAATAAAGGAAAATAACACATCCCAGTTAAAAATTGGTTCTTTTATTTAGTTTTAAAGTTTTGGTTTGACTAAATAACGTAAATTAAGGTTAATTGTGGCTGCCAAATTACGCTCAACATTCTCTACACACCGTTCGCACTGAACGCAGCCAGTAAATATGCAGCATGCATTTGACGTTTCTACTCGCATTGAAATGTCATTTATGTTTTGATATCCTAGCAGGAGAACTACTATTTTAACTATTAAACACCTTCCGATAGAGATTTTCATATAGGTCTTTTGTTTTAGGCGTTTATAATTCAATTGGAAATGAGTTCAGGCTTTGTAACAGCATCAGAAGCTGCCGAAGCCCGTAAACGGCGACAGGAGGAATGGGAAAAAGTTCGCACACCAGATCAACCATTGGGTGAGTGTATTGTTAAAACAATTGTATAAAATCAGAAAATAAAAACAATATATTTATTCACAGAACGTCCTGAAGAACCATATGATGGACGATCGCTTTTTGACCGACTAAAAGAGCAAAAGATGAAGAAAGACATGGAATATGAAGAGGCTCATAAGTTAAGTGAGTGATAAATAAGAAAATCCATACAGCGAGACTTCACTTCTTTAAATTTCCATTTTAGAAAATCTTATACGCGGGTTGGATGACGATGAAGTTCAATTTCTAGAGCTGGTCGATCAAAATAAAATCGACGCGGAAAAGAAACAATTGCAAGAGGAGCGAAAGGAACTCCAAGAATTCCGTGATCGTGTGGCTACACTGCAGGAAGAAACTGCCGATAAAGTATAAACCACTTTCGGCAATCATGTAGTTGTGTGTTTTTATATGTTTTCCTAATATATCTTTTAGAAACTCCAAACCGAAATCAGAACATCCAAAGTATCGAAAACTTCAACAGTTGCGTCCACAACTCGTCCCACGCAAAAGTCTTTGCTTGGTGTTGGCATTAAACGCAAGAATGGAGAAACGGCGAGCACAACAAGCTCGAAAATAACAAAAAATTCTACCGCGGGAAGTGCTGATAAAACATCGTTATTTCCTAGCATTACTACAAACCAATTTGATAAAGGTCAACTGAAATGTATTGCAATACTACCTGGTATTGGACCTTACAATGAGTCTAGTGACTCTGAAATGAGCAGTGGCAGTGAAGATGAACCCGACAATGACAATCATGCCAAGTATGATTTAATGGGGCGTAAAAGGCAGAAGAAGACGAAGTGCCAAAACGATGATTGATTTTTGAATTTTCCAGCTCATGTAGTAGGGAGGTCTGTCTCATCCTGTAATGGCTTCGACATATAATATACATACATATACGTTAATAAACTAAGAAAATATTGAATGGTTTATTTTCATTTGCCAAAAAGTAATCTGACTTCGGCTTCCTTTACCTTCAAACAAAACTACATCATATGTGATTGTTGTTGGAAATTTTATTTATAATACGTCCACTTCCCATAGTATACAATCCAGTTGTCAAGAATCTGAAGGTTTCCAAAATTATCAAACACCCTTTTTGGGATTGATAACTTCTGATGTATCTTAATAACTTCCAATACATGCATTTTTATTTTGAAAATTATCATTAAAGAAAACCAAATTTATTTTTTTATTTCACACATCATTCGTCCTTTTTCTTATTGCGATTACGATTTTTCACATTGGTCACTTCATAGAAATTACTGCCTACCTTCTTGCGCTTTTGACTGCGTTCTGCCGCACGTTTCTCCTTAGCCGTCAATCGTTTTTTGGCCGGAGGCAGTCGATTACCTTCATCACCACTTTCGCCACCAACATCCGGCTCTACTCTAAATTTGCCGGAAGCCGTTATTGCGACACTCGCTTTACGTTTAATGTTGGCTTTTTTGTGCACGACACGTTCTAAGTCATCATCGTATTCATCTTCAGAATAAAATTCACTGACACCATCGCTGGACTCCTCTTCATTCTCTGGGTTTTGCTGGCGTTGCTTTTTGCGTTCCAGGCGCTCGGCCTTCTGTTTTTCCAACAATTCTAAATCTATTTTATCTAGCTCACGCACATCCTGTGGTTCAAACTGAATGCCAAGTTTAATTTTTCTGAAGTCTTGCAACTGTTTGAATTCTCTCGCCTTCTTAACTGATTCGCTTACGAAAGTAGGTGCTTCGGATTTAGTGTCATCTCCTTCTTGATTGACTTGATCAACTGTTTCGGGTTCGTTAAGGGATTGGGGTTTATCAGCCTGTGATTTTGGTATCTCAAAGCCTTCGGGTGCTACATAAAACGGTAGCTTACCTCTTTGCCAGTCATTCAAAACCATGCGTGAAGTGACTGTGATATCAGGCTCTCCTCCCTTCAGTAATTTACCGGATTTCTTTGCCAACTGCTCCAAGAAGTTTAATGACGATGTCCATTTATCAACCTTATAAGTTTTTTGTATATACTCTTTTCGTACACGTTGCAAAACTGTCTCTACGTAGTCTTCAGGATTTGTAACCAATTCGACGCGTACAACTCCTTTCAGCACTTTTTCTGTGTCTGTTTCAGCTGATGGATATACCACGCCAGGACAATCGATCAGGAAGATACGTTTCATTAATGTAATATACTGCCACACTTTTGTTTCTCCAGCGATGGGCGCAACATTACATACTTTTTTGGAACGCAAGGCATTTATGACGGAAGATTTTCCTACGTTTGGATAACCAATGAAACCCACACTAATCTGTTTTTTGTCCATATGCAATTTCCCTAACTGCCGGAAAAGGTTTATGAGTGCACCTGTGAAATAAATAAAAAGAATCATTCACCATTTCAAATTGGCAACTCTAAACAATAAAATATACTAACCTTTTCCGAATGGATGCTGCATCGAGGCATGGAAGGCAATAGTTGGATACTCAGCACTTAATATAGCAACCCAGCGCTGCGTCACCCACACTGGCACCAAATCCACTTTATTCAAAATGAAGAAAAGGTGTTTATGTGGTTTTTCTTTGCGTAAGAATTGTTCAATGTACTTGGAACGGGTGCCCATAGGATCGCGTGCATCAAGCACCTGGAGTAAAACATCGGAAGAATCAACTACTTTGTGCAACTCATTCCAAATACGTCTACTCTGTCCAGCAGCAAATATCCAATCACGCTGAGCAGCTTTTTCGCCTGTTTCTTCACGCACTAAATCTACATCTTTAGTTTCATCATAGTTTTCAGCCTGTAACTCGGCAGTACGACTCAAGTCCTCCAAATCTCGAACTTTCAAATTGACACGCTTCCGTTGTCTTTTTGGACCGAATGTGGTATCGAAACTTTCTGTATCTAGTAAATGTACACGCTTGTATTTGCTTGTCTCGTTGAGTAGCGTGATTGGTAGCTGTGATGGCTTCATTATCACTTGGTACGGATCTTTTACTGCTTTGCCAATTTCATCTTGGAACTTTTGGAGTGCACTTTGCGATATTACCCGCGAATTACTGAACCATTTTTGAGAAGGTTCCACTCTCGCCATCGTACCAGATGGAAGACGACCCTTAAAATAAGGAGTAAGTGAACTCATTTGCAATTCAAACAGAAATGCCATAGGTTTACCTGAAATGGTGCAGGTGTAATTATTTTTCCCTTACGATTACGCTTCGCTTTGAAGTTACGGTACATTTGCAATCGCTTGATAGTGGCCTGCGTACGAGGATTTGCTACACCTTTGAGGCCAGATTTGGGACGTTCCGGATTCATAGAGTGATTCGAATGGTTGAAGCCCTGTTTGCGCGGAGGCCCAGATGCACTTCGTACTTTCGGCATTTTGCAGATTGCGTTATATTTTAACGAGGGTAAATATGTCTTAACTTTTAAAATACGCCGCAAATTACGCAGGAAACTATAAACCCAAACACAACGCGGCGTGTGCAAAGATAAAAAGAATTTGTTAGGTTATATTTTGATCGCAGCTGATTTTCATACGTATGATGGTATTTGGAGAGTTTTTTTGTTCCTCCTTCCGCAACACCAACTTAAATAAACCCTACAAGAATTGGGTGATGCAAATTTTCGTGTAAAAGCGACAAAAACAATCCTTTATATTTCAATGTGGCAGCACTTAGTGAAGCGAAAAGCGAAGAAAACGACAAAGAGCATAGCGATGAAAACAAAAAATTGCTTTCTGAGCTGACGGTTGCCATTTCCCACTTATTTATCGGATCAAAAAATGGACAAAATGGTAAAAAATTTACCAATTTTTATTAAATGGAGAAATTGAGTGGAGTTTATACCTCTTTATCAAGAAACTATGCCAATTCTGGGTAATTATCTAGGTGGGCTTTCAACTCCCAAAATTGGTCAAAATTTTGGAAAGGGGGAATCACAAACGCATCTGGACCCAAATAACAAGAATCCGAAAGCGGAAATTAACTTTGTTCACCCGATCAAAGGCTATTAACCTACGCAGAAAGGTGTTCTCTGCAGAAGGTGTTCAGCGCTTTTTGTTCGCAACGCAGAAAGAGAATTCTACTACTACAGAAAGGAGAAGGAAGTGAGGGTTACAATCCGTAAGTTGGTCAAAATTTTGGAAAGGGGGTACCATTAGACGCGTCTGGTCCCCAGTAACAAGAATCCGAAAGCGGAAATTAACTTCTTTTACCCGATCAAAAAATATTAACAAAAAATGTTGGGCGTTGAAAGCCCAACTAGATCCAATTCAGTTTTATAACAATTTTTCTTTATATTGCATCTAAAGTGCATTACAATTGTATATTAATAACATTATATTATTTAAAATGTTAAATAATAATTTGTTTCTCAATTTCGTTTTTATTAATGCTAAATCAGAAAATTTTGCGCTCAGCTGCTGCGGAACTTTGAGGCAGACTAAAAATGTTATTAACTAAATCACACACCAATCCATTTTTAATCAAACTTACTTGATCCCAAAAACGTTCTATATTGGTACAGTTTTGAAGTTTGCAAAATTGAAATTCAATTATGTCTGCATCATTTACCAATGCAGAAAATTGGTCGAAAGAACTTTATGTGGTGTAATAATTTCAAGCTCTTTAATATCGTTTCGATTGAAATCGAATATTATTTTCATGTGCTAAATGCTATGATGAAAGTTTTGCTCATTGTGTACAAATTCTTCCACAATGGTTTTGCTACCTTTCCATAATTGCAATTAGCAGGAAACTAGAGGTGGGTAACTCAACTCAGAGTTGAGTTATTGAGTTGATTCCTATAAGTGATTCGGTAACTCAGACTCCCTGTCCAAAAAAAATGTAACTCAGTAACTCAGTTGATGCCGTAGGGCTCACATGAATCAATTGAATCATAGTGGCTCATATTTGTGCATATAACTCTCTCGCTTCGCCACAGTGTTTAGCATGGCAAAGTCTTGCATTTTGTTTTTGCACGAGGCGAATTTATACAAGGTGGTGGCAAGAATACAACAACAACAACCACATGTATTTTGTATTGTGGGTGTTATGTCAAATCTCACAAATTCTTATAATTTCGGTTTTTTTTTTATTTTTTTCTCGAAATATGTATGTATGTAAGATATATAAAGATGTGCATATCAAATCAATTGCCTTTCCAACCATATCCACATTTTGAAATTCGGTACAATAGGTTTCGAAATATAAGCTTTTGAAAATATTGAAAATTCCACGTTTACCCTCCCCCTAGCACCACCCTATTAATTTGCACACAAAAAAAATTACACCTTTCAAATCAGTAGAAAGGAGCTGACCACGCCCACTTTAAAGTTTTGTTTTATCTCAACGGCCGCTATACCGCATCTATGCCTCAAAACGAGTCTACGATACGAATGAGTGTAACATACAAAGAGTCAAATGAGTTAGTTGAATGAGCTGACTCCTTAAAGTGAGTTGGAGTCATTGAGTCAACTCCTATAAATTTGCTGAGTTACCCACCCTTACAGGAAACCGCGATATTTCTTTAAGCGGGCTTTGACAGATTAGCCACGCCATATGTGAAAATCAGTGGCAAGGCGAGTTCACACTTCTTTGTTTAGGTATTTGAATAAAAAATTTTTCAGTTTGTGAAAATTTTTGGATTTATTGAAATAAGAAATGTAAAATATGATAAAAGAAAAGTAAAAGCGCAACTTTTGCAAAGAGTAGCAGCGAGTTTTTCATTTTACGGACGCAATGGTGAACGGATAGTGTGCAACTTTCCGCATAATCACCGTTGACGCTGACATTGACGGTGACGGTGCCGGTGGCGCAATGGACGTTGTGTACTTTCGCTTTAATTATTGCTTGCCGTACATTTTTAATTATTTTATTCCATCACTACTCTTAAACGCCATTCACTGAACATACCTCAATATGCATAAATTCCAATAGTCGCCCAATTTGACACTTTCGTAATAGCTTTTAGAATTTTAGTTTTCTTATTAGAATAGCAAATGAAATTGTTTTCTGGTAGAGAATATGTGAACTCATATTAATAAAATTGTTAAGATATAAAATAAGATTTGTATTAAAAGTTTCCTTAAATGCCTACGGAATATATGCTCAATGGAAGCGAGAAATAATGTTCAATCCCTATAAGCGAGCATAGTCATGGAGTCTTGAGTAATTTCACAGGTGTGCGTGCGACTCTTTGTATTTTCCGCCCATTCACTGGACTGGTTTTTGTTGTTGAATGCATTTGCTCAACCACAAGTGTGGGAATTTCTGTATAGTACGATTTGTAGAGTGCTAGGTGCCAAGCGACGGAAACAGCAATAATACCAAACGCAACGAATTCGGTGAGCATTAGTTGAATTGAGATGTATTGGTGGTGATCATTACTCAGTTTAGACATCGGAATGGAATGTGATGTGATCGGTTAAATGGTTTGCCAATAATAAAATAAGCGCAAATCTACTATCCTTGAAATAAATAGTTTGTGTATGGTCCAAAAAAGATCATTGCTGTCGATAATTTGTAAAAATTATGAAAAATTTTTGCAACTGCTAAATACAAAATTAATTATTAATACAAAATTATATTGCCTGGGCATGGATGAGCATACGCTAAATGATTTACTTGAGTGCTCGGTTTGTTTGGAGCGTTTGGATACTTCCTCCAAGGTACTGCCTTGCCAACACACCTTTTGTCGAAAATGTTTGGAGGTAATGCAATGAAATTTTATTCTCGTATATATACCTACGCATGTATTAATTTTGTGAGCTCAATTTTAAGGTGATTGTGTCCAGTCGCCAAGAGCTTCGCTGTCCGGAGTGTCGAGTTTTGGTTGAGGTAAAAATAGACGATTTGCCACCTAATGTGCTCTTAATGCGGATACTAGAAGGTATGTACCAACCACATTCATGTTTTATTATTATGTTTTTTTTTTGTAATATGTAACAATATATGTACATACATATTATTTATAAATAAACATATATACTTGATACAGCCTACGCGCGATACCATTGTTTTCGCCATGCATTAATATATTGAAACTACAGCAATAATATTTTCACGTCGACACCTATGAGACGTTGAGGGCCAGAGTATCGAAGTGCTAATTACCCGAGGCACGCCCTTTCAATTTTCTTAAAACGTCCACCAAAAGATTTCGCAAAAATATTAAGATTAACGTAAGCTGGACCGATTTGAAAACACCTCCAAAAATGGAGTTTTTATGATTAAAAATAGTTTCATAAATAACTTTGAAAAAATCCGCTCAGATGACAAAACAGATTAAGCTTAAAAAATCTGCATAAAAATATTTTAAAACTTTTTCAACGGAATCGTAAAAGTGAGATTTTTGATGCTGTTTTTTACTTTAGACTTATGGGATCTCAGTAGAAAGGTATTTTCCCACTATTTTTATTTCTGTGGAAAAAATTCATTCGTGTCCCAATTTTATTTTATTTTTTTTTCAAATACCAACACATCTTAATTCAACTTTGAATGAGATTCGTTCATCCTACGTTTCTCTTACATCCTTTGAATGAGTTTATTAGCAAAGAAATAAAAAGGGGTGAGAAAATACCATTCCAATGATATGTTTCAAAAAAGTTGAAAAACAGCATCAAAAATCTCATTATTACGACGATTGTATATTTATGAGAAGCTGTTTTTCATGGCAGAAATACACTCAGAGATTTGCCATTTCCTGCCGAGGGGCGACCGGTGCTAAGAAAAAACCTTTCTATATTTTTTTTCGATGTTGCTTTGACCAGGGCTTGAACCCAGGCCCTGCGGAGTGGTAGCGCACACTGTTAATCACCACAACAGCGGGCCCAATCTATATATGCATATTTAAAAACCTCATTTTCATCCCTTTTGCTGCATTACACCCAGAGTGTTTTAAATGTAATTGTTTGTTTACGTGTTTAAATCTAAAATAAAAAAGTGGAATTTAACAAAGTAAAAGCTGAATACCTAATATGTACTTACAGGTATGAAAAATGCAGCGGCTGCTAAGTCGCAACAACAACAACAACAACAACACAATACGCATAACTCCAAATCAAGTGCAGATGTACGACATATCACCGATTGTAATCAGCAACAGCAAACACACTATCCTTTGCAACAATTGCAATATATCCAACAAAGGCAACATCATCACTCGCATTCAAGTCCACTGCCCCAACAGACACAAGGACAATCAGTTACTGTTGGTATTAACCCAAGCGGCTGTGCTCAACAGCTCCCTCAACAACAATTGGCACAGCAGCGTCGTTGCATGCTGCCGCACGCGTACGCCCTGTATGATTTTGAGTCGTCCGAACCGTCGGACTTACATTTCAAAAAAGGTGATCTAGTGCTACTGATGCGAAAAATAGACACTAACTGGTATGTGGGCCAACTCAACAACGGCAATGGCGTTATTTCCGAAGGTACTTTTCCCATTAATCATGTCCAAGTTATTGTACCACTGCCATCACCTCAATGTGTTGCTTTATATGACTTTAAA